TTTTTAATGTTTTATTTGTATTAGTTAATATATTATATTATCAAAGATTTGTTTCAATTATATTTAAAAATATTATTATTGATTAATTTTTCAAGATACTATTTTTGATCATTTTACATTCTCACAACTAGTTTTGTCAAACATAATTTATTTATCAGTTAACAGACGATTTATCAGCCATCAGCTAGTTTATCAACTACCAACTAGCTTATCAACTAGTTTGCTAAATATAGCTTTAGTAAAATTTCAATAAACTAAAAAAGCAAATAACCTTTTATTTATAACATAAAATTATTATAACATTATAGTTATAAAAAAATATTGTTAGATTATTTATCAATTTTATTTTATTATATACAAATTAATTATCAACTACGTATAAACAAATTATTCACCTCATTTTAAATTGAGAAAATTACTCTGTCAATCTTCTACTCTCTCTTAATATGGATCCTAATAATCCAAATTAGTATATAAATTTGTTGAATTAACCCATTCTTCACCTAAATACAACAAATATACAAGCTCAACTGAATTTCCTACCATATCGATCTATTATCTCAACCGCCTCTAAATTTTGAAGTTCGTCGCAATTTTCAATGTCAACACCACGTTACGTGCATGCTCAAGATCCTTCTCACGGTACATCGAATATTTGAAGTTTTTTATTTTCGTCAAACACCCATTCAATGTTTACGTATCACTGTACGGATCCTTCTTTCATCCTGCACAACCAAATCCATATATACCTATATGTCCATCACAACCCACGTCGTATGATTTTTTGAAGTTCCAAAATTTTCTTTCCAAGAAAGTTTAGAAAATATAAATCTTGACGAAACAACGAGCAATCATTCGGAACAATAAATAAAGGAAAATGGAGCTGTATAGATTGTAGAAGATGAATTACATGTGAGTGTTTGACTCACTATTTCCTTGTGGCTTCGTTTATTACTTCAGAATAACTAATCGTCGTTTCATCAAGATTTATATTTTCTAACCCTTTTTGGGTACATATATGGATTTAGTTGTGCAGAATTAAGAAAAACATTGAATATTAAGTGTTCGACGAAAATTAAAAAACCACCAACATTTGATGTACCCCACGAAGAATCTTGAGTGTGCACGTAAAGTGGTGGAAATAGTTTCGATGACGAAAATTGTGATGAACTTCAAAATTTAGCAAACGGCTGAGATAATAGATATGGTACGAAATTCAATTGAGCTTCTATATTTGTTGTACTCGGTGAACTTGTATGATGAACCATTGAGTCCAACAAATTCATAGAGTAATCTGGATGATTGTGATCTATATTAAAAGAAAGTAGAAGATTGAACGATAAAAGTCTTAATTTCAAATGAAGTGTATGATTTTTTTATAGGTAGAAATTAGTAATTAGTTTGCATAGGTAGAAGTTGGTAATTAATTTGTGTAAATAGAAATTGGTAATTAATCTGTATAGGTAGAAATAAAATAATACTGATAAAATTAATCAACAATATTTTTATATTCATAATATTATAATAATTTGTGTTGTAATTAATCTTTATGGACGTTAAAAGTAGGAACCAAGACCGTTATGAAATGATCAACGTGAGGGACCGAATCTGAGTATATAAGTTTAGGAATAATATCCATTAAAAGCGACAAATATTATGGAGAAAAAGTGAACTTTACTCGTTTACAAAAACATTTCAAGTTTTACGTTGTTATTGTTTATGTAACGAATAAAATGGATATTTTATAATAATTTAAAGTTTTTTTATGTATTACTGATCTATACTAAATGAATTAATAGTTTTATTCTTTATAAATATTAAGAGTTTATAAGGAAAAAATTTAAATGATTTATAATATAACTGGAAAGGTACTCGTGAATACATCTTGATTTTAATATTTCATTATATTATTTATCTCGGTCGATCTTTATAATATGATCTTATGTGATTTTAAAAAGACGATAATGTTTTTATTTTTGAATAAAATATACATTTAAAGATATCATAAAAATTTGACAAAAATATATCGATATTGGTATTAAATTAACTATTTAAAATTCCTATTTTCTGTTTAATTTTTTTAATTTAATTTAGATTCAATAACAAAGTAATTTATATTTGATTTAATAATATAATTTTTTTATAAAGATAATAATTAATTATCTTGTAAGAACTCGATAATTATTCTAATTATATTTTAGATTTTAAAATGAGATGTTTATTCTCTATTTGATTGTGTTTAGCCAAAGTTAGTTACACGAATTTAAATATGAAACTTTAATAAGTTGTACTTATGCATAATTTACTTGTAATCTTGAACTTTAAGTAATATGCATCAATATACAGTACTTCATATATAAAAAATAATTTTTAAGAGTTTTTGTCAAATATTTTATAATATAGTATAGATATAATACAGATATGATAATATTATGTTTTTTCCTTAAAGTTTTTTTTATTGATAATTGAAATAATTTAGAAACATATCATTGCAATATCTTCTCTCTCTCTTCTTCCAAATATGGAGGATTTTCCATTATCTTATGTTTTTTTTTCTATATTTTAGTGTAGTATTTAGCATAGTTGTTGAAGCAAATTTTGTCTGAATCTTCAAAATTTCTAAAATAGGATAGCTGTTAGGGAAAAAAAATTATACCCTACAACATTATCACTTATTATTGTTTAAAAAAAAGACTTGTGGGCATCTTTTATTCTCCTTTTTTCTTTGAGATATAAAGTGGTTAGGGATCGTTGATCAACATAAACTAGATACGCATTTATCGTGAAAGAGTAATGAAGCTTCGTTCCTCAGCAAAGTGTTCATTTCTCTTTTATCAGGTTTCATTCTCTTTCTTTTTTGATTGGATGATGGAAAATCCAGCAAGCTACGGCTTTCAGAGACCAGTATTCCCCATAGACACGGCCATTTTCGGCATCTTCACTGATTCCCCTCTTCTCAAAGCCCTTCGAGAGGAAGATGAATGTCAATGTCCCCTTTTCCTCTCGACAAAACAGAAAGTGAGCTTTTTCCTTCCTCACCTGTTGAGACAGATAGTTGACTTATTTCATCCATGTCCCAATTCCATTCATTTAATATCTTTTTGGTGTCATTGACATAACAGATGTCATCCTATTCACTTGCTTTATGAGCATGGTTTCCAGTTATCAACATAGCATGCATAGTATAAACGTCTCGTACCCGGTAAGTGTTTATGGGTTTGTTTAGGATTGCTTTTAGATTCAATTATTTTGAATTATATAGGGGTTTTATCACAAATTTTTAATGGGTCTGCATAAATTTGTTCTTGTGTTCATGATTTAGATTTATTTTTGTTCTTGTGTTAATGGTTTTGCATTTTGAATGGATATGTTTAACTTTTTGTATAAACTTGTTTGTGTATTTATCAAATGGATACCCATGACTTTCGAATGAAGCTTGTTGGAATAGCTAAGATGGAAAGGGGTGAGGGAGACAAGAGGGACAAGTGGCAATTCTTGATTGGTCTTTGAAAATGTTTTCTATTATATAATTGAGAAAATGAGTAAAATAACTAAAATATTCTTATGGTCACATTTGGTTTGCAGAATGTTTTTAGATGTAATAGAATCTGTTATAGAAATTTGAATTTGAAGAAATTGGAATGAAATGTTGTTAGGTTTGACTATATGTTTGTTTCGCAGAATTGGAATGGAATTTATTAAAGAACTTGGAATCTGTCTGTTTAGTTCACAAAATGTAGTTTGGAATTGAAATGAAATTCTGGTAAATGACTAAAATACTCTTTTTGATAAATTAATTTTTTTAAACTAAAAATACTATAATAAGATAATCATTAAATATTTTAATATATAAAACAATATCAAAATACATAACCCAAATATAACCATAAACCAAATAACATTATTAAATTGATATTAAAATTGCTTCAAAATCCATAAAACATGTTCAAAATAATTATATGCCACCATTATTAAACAATCGTACATATGACGCCAAAATACCAAAGCATGTTCAAATACATGTTCCAAAAGCTATTAAGCATCATAGTTCTCGAAAAAGAGCTAAATCATCAAACACAATCATTCTTGCAAAATATACCTCACAAACTCTTCTCGAGCTTCTCCTTCATAGTTCTAAAAGTTTAACACGGATTCAGGTTCACGTGTTATTTTTCTCTGTGCTGTAAACTTTTCCATCAAAGTAAGATTCATTTTGGCAAGTTCAGAACAAACCACGGAATTCTTTTAATGTAAATTCATCTCAACTTGCACCACCTAGAATATTCTAGAACCAAGAAAAAAAAACAGTCATTACACATATTTAATTTACTACATGAACACCAAAAAAAGTTTTAATGATATTTACTTGGAACCATTTCCATCTTCAATCAATAGAGTCCTCAAGAACAGTTTTGGGTTTCTTAAGTAAATGTGGGTGCAATCTACTAACCGCGTTGCAAACTCGAGTAAATAGTGTACTAATTGTTTCTCTCAAACGATGAAAACAACATGTGACAACCCTATTCTTAACATTATGAGCAACCATGTGAAGGAAAATGGCAACTTGTTCACCGGTATCCATATTCCTAGTTGCTCATAACCCTCTTAATATTTCAAGTATATCACATAACTTCTTGAAACACCTTCTACCCATCCTAAGTTATGATATGCACATGGTGTCACTATTGTAGGCATACCTATGCAATATTGTAGACCGATCCATATTTGAACACGAATAATGAATACGGGGTATATCCCTTCTATGTTTGGCTACTAAACAACAAACTGGTATAAAAAAACCAAGTAATAACGCTCATAGCTTCTTCCAAAAACAATCGCAGAAAATATGAAGCAGTTGTGTTGATCCTTCTGATGAATAGGTGTATGAGGTTGTAATGGCTACTTTATTATTTGTTTCACAACAAATCCTATAAAGAAAATATATCACTTGTTACTAAAATGCAACCAAACAACTCTAGTATGTAAAACAGTGGAGGAGATTAGTGCTAAAAGCATGCAATATAGTTAGATAATTTTATATTTTCTGCTATTCAGCATATAAAACAACAAACAGCAATTCATCATTTATGCTTAATTAAGAAAAGAACAGATGCATGCCCTTAGTGGTTCTTAACCGCATCGGAATGAAATCATGCAGTCGACTGCTTTAAATAAGCAATAACATCAGCTCGATCGTGTGGTTCCTTCAGTCCAGGAAAAAACTTTTTCGTTCCAGGGATGTACTGCGTAAAACATCATCTTCACAATCAGAAATAGACACAGGAAACAAGTAGATGAAAAAGTGAATATCATGGAAAGGTCATAGGTCATGAAAAGGGAACCTTTCATTACAAAACAAGTTCTTTTTTTGTTCAGCCAAGCGGGCAAGGAGGTCGCCATCCTTATAGAATGAGTGGAAGGTTTGGAGTTCGACTCCAGGCACCACTCGCTGATATGTGATTCACCTCCCCCATAATGGCCTTGGGACGGTCCGATGGATACGCTCCAAAAGGTGGCATTATACCTTTTTGGAGCTCAATCAGCTTAATCAGTATTATATATCTGTTTAAAAAACTGCAAGCCTTATCGAGTGGTAAACTACTATCTTGCTAAAAACAACTACCTGGTGCACAAAGCAATAACATTTAGTGGTTACAGAATTCATCAAAATTCATGAAATAATGTGAATTTGTTGAGAAACATTTCAAAATAAGCAAAATGTATACCTTCTTAGGGTTTAGCAAGTAGTCATAGAGTGTATTTTCTGCCCATACCACATCCATGTCCTTGTTGGCAGCAGAATAAGAATACCCTGCTGTGCTGCCAGACTGGCTTCCAAACAGACCATTCAAATTTGGCCCTGAATTTCACACTTGCAACATCAGCATACTCAAAGACCTCAACATACTCAAAGAAATCATCAAACAGAAGTGAAAACTGGAAAGCAAATTGCATTAGCAACCACACTTTTATGAGAGAAAAGTATGAAAAAGCATATTAGATAGCTCCTTGTAAAATTATGTATATATATATATATATATATATATATGTGATATTTACAAAATTATATTTTACAGCCCAAAAATATGTATATTTTTTAGTCTAATGTACAACCCAAAAATTAAATACATGTATCACTTGTCCAATTTATAGCTTAAACTTAATTCAACTATTGTCTAGGTCAAGTACAATAGGACCAATACTGCAATTCAATTCACTGATTTAGTTCTCGACTTCACGTTCTCCTATTGTCTACTCGTCTAGCGTCCCAAAATCTGCAAATCGTGACTGCCATGTGCCGACCGGACTGCTCTCGTTCTCGTCCCCGATTCGTACTCCCAATTTTGGTTCTTGAGTTCCCGAATCCTTTTCTGCTTGCTACGGCCTATGGGACTGTGGTTGCTTACTTGCTACGGGATTGTGGTTGCTGTGAGCCTATGAGTGAATCATTTTTTTGCTTGCTACAGGTATGGCTTCTGTCACTCGTTTTCAGCTAGTTCCTGTTTGGCTGCTTGTTTTCTGCTACTTCTAAACAACATTTTATTGAATAAAAACTCCTTGAAACTTACTTGTCTATTAGATCATATGCTTCATAGCTCATGTGGTTTACTGGTTTGCATATTTTCTGAAAATGTTATCCTTAATTGACTATGTATAGGAGCAATGAAAAATACTCCTAAACCTCCAAAAATCGAAGACAATGATGAACCAAACTCATCTAAGAAAAGGGGTGGTAGATTTTCAAACGTTTGGGATCACTTTTTAAAAAAGGACTCTAAATGTGTCTATAATTATTGTAGAATATGTTTACCATAACAAGAAAATTGGCACAAGTTCTTTGGATGAAAGGGAATAATGAGGGGATTCAAATAAGTGAATATTTGGATGAAATTTCCTCTTATGACTTTCTTGAAGAATATAAATTTAACAATGGTTATTTTTTCAAGCTTATATATTCTTAATAAATTGTTTCATATTCTTTTTGAATTGTAGATAAACCAAGGAGAATGCAACATCGCAATCGGGAAGGTCCAAGACGGTCGTACTTGATTGAGGATTTGAATCAGATGCTATCATTTAAACTTTAGAAATTTGAATCCAAAACTTGAGGATTTAGATATATTTTTGGATGATTGTAATAATTAATGACTTTTTCGGGTATAATTTTAGTATTACTAATCATATTTCATTTGTCAGATTTATGAACTTTCGTAACCCATTATGCTTTTGAATGGGTTGGGTTGGGTTGAGATTTTCCAAACCACCATAACTGGGTTGGGTTGGATTGTAAAAATGTCAAAAACCATCCAATCCAGCCCAACCCAATCCAACCCGCATAGACCCTAGTTGGAAGGCGTGCATGACAACGGAGAGAATATTGCCATGGACACACCTAGAGTAGAGAATACGGTGGCACGTGCTACCATATTATTCGTCCATCAAAGGGTAAAAAAATTTAGGTTCGTGAAAAATGCAACCGTATTAATTTGTTGTGTGTTACCGTATGTATTTTGAAACTACAATGAGAACAAGTTTTATTTGGTAGAGTTGGTTTGCAAGGCTTTTATTCCACCCCAACCCAAGTTTAAATCATGTTGATATCATTTTCTTAGTCAAATGGTACCACCGTTTGAAAAAAAAAATTGTACATTTGTTCCTTATAGTCAAATGGTGCCACTGTTTGAAATTTTTTCCATATTATCTTTTTCTGATAGTCAAAAGGTGCCATTATTTGGAAAAAAATTCCGAGTCTGTCCCTGAATATTGCAAAAAAGGGATCGCATATAAACACACTTCAAAACACGCATATATATCGGAATTTTAGTTTCATTTCCAGAAAATCCTGTGCAATTAAGATGCAGAGGGGAAGGATTACGACGTCAAGATCGTCACATTCTTAAAATAATAATAATACAGGAGAAAATCTTCGACAAAATAGGAGGGTAAACTATGCTATTTGTCTATTTCATCTTCATGTACTAATAATAGAAAACCAGAGTAACCATGGAATGCAAACGCACATCAAACTATTCTATTTCTAGGGTTAGAGAAGGAGGTAAGAACCTTGCTTGTGGCCGGCCCCTTTTTCGACGGTGTGGCACTGAGCGCACTTCGTTTTGAATACCTTCTCCCCAACTGTAGCATCGCCTGCTGCTGCTTCTTCAAATGACGCCATTAGAGTCGTAGGGTTTCGACTTTTTACAGAGACGAAGAATCCTTTCGAGACCTTTCAACTTGGGGAAGTGGTAATGGCAAACTATGAACAGGTTCGTTGAATGCTTTGAAAATCATGCAATATTTAAATTCTATAAAACATCAAATGGATGTAATAATATATTATATTTAATTATTTAATATATTAATAAATTATCATTATATATCAAGTGTGTATATATAATTTGTACATGGCATTCACACACATCATATGTTATTATCTATATCTATATTATTATTTTCTAAACTCTAAACCCTAAACCCTAAACTGTGGTTTGTGGTCTTAAACTATGGTCTGTTACACAATATCGACAACTTATAGAGATTAAAATGGGCATGTCCATTTTGACAAAAAAAAATATGAAATATCTATCTAAAAAATGCTTGGGAAAAAAAAGCTAAGAAGAGGCTTTACAACATAATTCAATACAAAAACACCAACCCCCGGCATTCTCCATGGTAAAAATACCAACATAAAACCAATTTCTTACAAAAGTAACACAAAATGAAATAGGAGCAAAAATTTAGAACTCAAAACTCAAATAGATGGTTGAAACATGAAATTTAAAATAAAAAGTAACTAATTGATGGAACAGGGCAATAAAATTACTTGGAAAGCAATAAATGGAAATCGATGGGAAGAACAAGGGAAACACCTGGAAAGCAATCGATGGAAATCGTATGTCAAACTGTGGTCTGTTACAAAAACTTGGAACTCAAAAACAGGAGCAAAAGTAACACAAAACTCAAACACTGGAATAGATGGTTGAAACATGAAAGTTAAAAGAAAAAGTAACTCAAACCAGGAAAGCAATCAATGGGAATCGATGGGAAGAACAGGGGAAATACCTGGAAAGCAATCGATGGAAATCGATGGGAAGAATAGGGGAAATACTTGGAAGCAATCGATGGAAAGGAGCGAGTAGAAGAGGAACGGTATCGTTTGAATCGTGTGGAAAAGGAGCCATAGGAGCAGGAGGAGGAGAGGAACAATCGTTCATAAACCTGAATCATTGCCTTGGGACTGAATCGTCATCTCTGTAGGAGGAGGGCCAGACAGTGGAGTGCGTCGGAGAGAGAGCTTCTTGGACAGCGAGAGAGAGAGAGCGCGTTGATCTTGATGTTCGAGAGATAGAGTGCTTTGTTGTTTTTTAACATGAGCTTCATAAATGCAATATATCTTGTTTTTAAGACTTTACTTTATGCATAAATGGGTAATACCAAATGCATTAAAGTATGTTTTTAAGACTTTTGTTAAATCTCATTATTAAGATAGTATAGATATAGTACAAGTTACCAATGCACATTATTGTCTTTTATTTTCAAGTTCCCAATATACTTTTGATACATTTTACTCATGTCTTCACTATCTCATACATCTATGTCTTCTCCACATCCCCCAATGTGAGATTCAAACTGATATTCACCATGATTAATTACGAGTTCTCTCATTCATCTCCCATTCAATAGTTCTAGAACTCTCGGTCTCGCTCTCGATCTCTTGATTCTTTGCTCTTGGTGTAAATCAAACACATTTGTGGAGTCGTTTAAATATGTTTGATTTTAAATATATTGGATTTTAAACTGTCATACAATTTTTTTCATCGATAAACTGTAATTAGAACCATAACTTTTATTTATTCAAATTGTATTAATATGTAAAGACCAAGTGTAACTTATATCATCGTTAAGTCTTTACCAATAAAACCAGTGAAACTTCAAAATCGTTAAAATTTACGGCCCCGCCGCATCATGCGGGTACACAACTAGTTATATGTTAATTATGTATTCATACTTGTTATTATTATATACACAAGTATTAATATTATAATTTTATTTTACTTATTTTGATAGTTTTAAAATTATATAATTTATTCGTTATTTTTATAAAAATGACTTGAAAAAATATGATCACTTTTGCAAAACGTAGTATTTCAAATTTCTTGTGTTATTTTAATATTTTTGAATTGATGTAACTAAAATATTGTGAATAAAATAAAATAATTAACATCGTGCAACTCACAGAGTTGTGGTTATTTACAAAAAGAATTCATATGTACATAAATTTTTTAATAAATAAAATATCGAACTTTTTAAATATTAGTTACTTGAATCATTTCAACCCAAAAAAATGTTATCTATATTATCTTATTAAGCAAATTTAGCAAAAGTCTTAAAGTCTTAAAATACTAAATGATCAAAATACATTTATACTCACTTTTTCCCTTTTTCACTTGTTCCACCCTCCTCTCATCACATACACTCACCCTCTCACAACCGATTTTTTTTAAAATTATAATTTTAAAATTTACACTTTATACCCCTATACTTAATTAATTAATTTACTTTACGTCTTTTACTTTTAAATGTTTCATTTTAAACTTTTATCAAATTAACATACATAATCGTATATCAATTAAAACATGTTTAAAAAATATATTTTTATTTTAACAAGTTACACCATTATAATCGTCTCGCTAATACCTTCGAAATGAGTCCACTATTGAATAGTTTTTGACTTAATTATATCATTATATATTATATATACTGTGAAAAAATATTTTTAATATTTACGATTTATATATTTATAGTTATGTATTTATATATGTACTATATATTTTGAGGTTAGGTTGTCCAAATTGCACTGTATAATATGTTTTGAATTAATATGTTCTTGGATTTTTTTGAAATATATATATATATATATACATGTATTAATTCAACCTTAATCTGAGTTTCTGGACAAGAAAGAGGGTAAGCAATTGAAATTTCATATTGAAAACTCATCTTTTTTTGTCTTTTCATGGCTTATGATCTGTCAAAATTTGTAGTTTTCTTATTGGTTTTGAGTGTTTATCTTAAAATTCAAGTTTCTTGGTATCTTGCTCTTGGTGTAAATCGAATACATTTGTGGAGTCGTTTAAATATGTTGCATTTTAAATATATTGAATTTTAAACTGTCATACAATTTTTTCCATCGATAGTATGTAATTGGAACCATAACTCTTATTTATTCAAATTGTATTAATATATAAAGACCAAGGGGCGTTTGTTTTTCAAAAAAAATCACTTAATACCTCTTATGTCTGAATCGGTCAGACCTTGAGGTATTAAGTGCGTTTGTTTTTTCTTTCAATTAAGAG